TGGTTCTAGAAAACATGGAAGGACCATAACGAAATCGGAATTGCAATTTGTAATTCTCACAATTATTTTGACGCAGATGTTGTATTTCCGCAGTTGACAGTGCAGTTGCTAATTGACTCAGGTAGTCCATTTCGTTTTTGACCATTTCGTTTGCTTGGTGTGCATTAGCGAACACCTGGCGTCAGTATTACATGATTGTGATTCATAATAAATAAAGCAATAGAAATCTCGGTGTTCGCGAAAAGTTGAGCGTATTCTGCCCCACCGGTGGCGTCCATCACGAACACATGTAAAGGCAAGTCAATTATTCACCTGAAAACCACGGGAACATATGGTACAAGTCAACATAGGGAACTGCAACGGACATAATTTTTTGTCACTGATGCGTCAAATTTGAAAATGTCCTCATGTGTACCATAAATGTTTTGAAAGCTTCACTGAGGCCTTGATTGTTGTAACCTTGATCGAACGCTTACCCTCTTTGTAATCTTGGTGATAAGAGCATGCTCGACTGTATCTCAAAACTTGTGTAGACACCAAAGGCTGGAGCATCTGGACCTATGCTTCGTCCAGCTCAGGTCTTGAATAATTTGGCAAGTCTACATTACCCCAGCTCTAGGAATTAGCTCTGGGAGCTCTAGGGCTCCATTTGAGCATTATTATTTTTTATTTTAAATAAGATAACTTTATTTCTGGGACTAATTGTCACTCTATCGGAATCGAACAATTGAGAATTTTTATGAAAAGGAAACTTTTGTTTTGGGGTTTTGTCGCTTTAAATCCTATAGACGATCCTGCATGTTTCGTAATAGAGCCAAAACGTTACCTCCAAGGGGATATACACGTGTTAATGGATGCATTGTTCACAGTTCGTTTCACTTGCGCGGGATTGTATAGTAAACATGTAGCCCCGGACCTGTAGCTTTGTTGGATATGTTGTCAACACTTTCAAATGTCGATAATGACAACTGCTAAACAAAAGGAGCGCTCTGAGCACTGATAGTCAAATATTTTCTGCATAGAAGCTTGAGGACTATTATCTAAAACTAAAATCTATAGTTGTGCTTGTTTATTTGTTGTTTAACACACTTGCGGCATATTGTACCCACCACTGAATTTACGTGACCGCCAATCTGGACAGGTCAGTGAAAATAGACATCGCCGTACATATATTGTGGTAGGACATTGCGGATGGCGACACTCCAGCTATATGCCGTCTGTTTGTAAATAACTGGAGTGAGTCAGGGAGTATGGTTGATGGCGACCAGTTCCAATCCTGAATCCCTACAGTAGCTTATAAAAATAATATTAATAAAAATAAGGATTCTTATACAGCGCTAAGCTCAATAGAGTGTATGCTCAAAGTGCGATACAAATCCCTATTTTGAATTGTACCATATGTTCGCATGTATTTTTCAGGTGAATACTTGACTTGCCTTTGCTTGTGTTTGTGACGGGTGTCCCCTAGTATCATCACTATTTGTTATTAATTTATGAATACATGCTTACGATAGAGCCGGTAAAGTAAATGGACATTGCTTTCACCGGACATTTCTGATGATTGTGGAAGGCGTTTGCGCTCTTATTTAATGTCGCGTGTAAGATTACAATGTACCTCACCCTTTTTGTAACGTGCATGCATGTGTGGGTGGCAGCTTGAGCTAGTCAGGATTTCTTCCGGTTCTTTAATCGTCTTCAAAGATATAGCTGCCTCTGACGTCACCTGCTAGGTGCAAGGCTCCATACCCTCACATCAGGTTCACTTCGGGATCCAAGGCCGGACGGTGTACTGTTTCACGGTCTGGCTGTATCAGGTTCACTTCGGGATCCAAGGCCGGACGGTGTACTGTTTCGAGGTCTGGCTGTATCAGGTTCACGTCGGGATCCAAGGCCGGACGGTATACTGTTTCACGGTCTGGCTGTATCAGGTTCACTTCGGGATCCAAGGCCGGACGGTGTACTGTTTCACGGTCTGGCTGTATCAGGTTCACGTCGGGATCCAAGGCCGGGTGGTGTACTGTTTCACGGTCTGGCTGTATCAGGTTCACGTCGGGATCCAAGGCCGGACGGTGTACTGTTTCACGGTCTGGCTGTATCAGGTTCACGTTTGGATCCAAGGCCGGGTGGTGAACTGTTTCACGGTCTGGCTGTATCAGGATCACGTCGGGATCCAAGGCCGGACGGTGTACTGTTTCACGGTCTGGCTGTATCAGGTTTACGTCGGGATCCAAGGCCGGACGGTGTACTGTTTCACGGTCTGGCTGTATCAGGTTCACGTCGGGATCCAAGGCCGGGTGGTGTACTGTTTCACGGTCTGGCTGTATCAGGTTCACGTCGGGATCCAAGGCCGGACGGTGTACTGTTTCACGGTCTGGCTGTATCAGGTTCACTTCGGGATCCAAGGCCGGACGGTGTACTGTTTCACGGTCTGGCTGTATCAGGTTCACGTCGGGATCCAAGGCCGGACGATGTACTGTTTCACGGTCTGGCTGTATCCGGTTCACGTCGGGATCCAAGGCCGGACGGTGTACTGTTTGACGGTCTGGCTGTATCAGGTTCACGTTTGGATCCAAGGCCGGGTGGTGTACTGTTTCACGGTCTGGCTGTATCCGGTTCACGTCGGGATCCAAGGCCGGACGGTGTACTGTTTCACGGTCTGGCTGTATCAGGTTCACTTCGGGATCCAAGTCCGGGCGGTGTACAGTTTCACGGTCTGGCTGTATCAGGTTCACGTTTGGATCCAAGGCCGGGTGGTGTACTGTTTCACGGTCTGGCTGTATCAGGTTCACGTTTGGATCCAAGGCTGGACGGTGTACCGTTTCACGGTCTGGCTGTATCAGGTTCACTTTCGGGATCCAAGGCCGGGCGGTGTACTGTTTCACGGTCTGGCTGTATCAGGTTCACTTCGGGATCCAAGGCCGGGTGGTGTACTGTTTCACGGTCTGGCTGTATCAGGTTCACTTTCGGGATCCAAGGCCGGACGGTGTACTGTTTCACGGTCTGGCTGTATCAGGTTCACGTTTGGATCCAAGGCCGGGTGGTGTACTGTTTCACGGTCTGGCTGTATCAGGTTCACGTTTGGATCCAAGGCCGGACGGTGTACTGTTTGACGGTCTGGCTGTATCAGGTTCACTTTCGGGATCCAAGGCCGGGCGGTGTACTGTTTCACGGTCTGGCTGTATCAGGTTCACTTCGGGATCCAAGGCCGGGCGGTGTACTGTTTCACGGTCTGACTGTATCAGGTTCACTTCGGGATCCAAGGCCGGGTGGTGTAGTGTTTCACGGTCTGGCTGTATCAGGTTCACTGCGGGATCCAAGGCCGGGTGGTGTAGTGTTTCACGGTCTGACTGTATCAGGTTCACTTCGGGATCCAAGGCCGGGTGGTGTAGTGTTTCACGGTCTGACTGTATCAGGTTCACTTCGGGATCCAAGGCCGGACGGTGTACTGTTTCACGGTCTGGCTGTTCATCGGCCATTATTCAAGAAAAGCACTGGCAGTTGTTTGAACAATAGTTCAATTATATCACAGTGTGTTTCCTTTCGAGGACAGGTTTTAAATGTTAACCATTTCGGCGACTCCCGTGAGAACGGGTGTTGTGCTGATAAACGTTGAAACAAAATCAGCGCGAAACGAAATTCATGTTTCCCGCACGTTTTAGGGATGCAACGATTGCGAATTCTGTGGACGGTGTGATGGTTGCAAGAGATTCCACTGAACTCCGTAAATCACATAGACCGTGCAGTGAAGTGTAGTGTTTTGTTGTTTAACGCCGCTCTCAGCAATATTTCAGTTATATGACGGCGGTCTGTAAATAATCGAGTCTGGACCAGACAATCCAGTGATTGATATCACGAGCATCGATACATGCATTTGGGATACGATGACATACATCAATCAAGTCAGCAAGCCTGACCACCCGATCCCGTTAGTCGCCTCTTACGACACGCAAGGTCGCCTTTTACGGCAAGTATGGGTTGCTGACGACCTATTCCAGCCCGGATCTTCACGGGAAATCGATCTGGAGAAGTCAGACATAGTTTGTCATTTACAGGATTTAAGGCCAGGTTATGCACACATTTACATGGAATGGACGTAAACAAAACAATAACGGTACAATAGAAATCTATGGGCAACATCTGTTTGCGTGTAACCCAGTATTCCGTAACTTGACAATTAAACCAGTCATGCATTTGCGTGTCACAGTTATCGCTTGAAGGTGATTGGTGGCGTGTTGAAAGGGAATAACCTATGGTACATGTCGACTGATGAGAAAGAGGCACCTCGGCCTTTACCTTCCAAGGTCAGAATCACCACGGAATTGGTTTGAACCCGTCCCCGAGCAATTAAGTGTTTCCAGAAGAGACCACCTAGAATGGTCAAA